CGGGTTTTCAGTTTGCAGAAGAGTGTAGAGAGGACAGCGTAGTAGGCCCCTGGAGTTAGTAGCCCCAAATACAACTAGGCTGAGTAGGGCCAACTAAATCAGTATGGCAGAGGGCAAGAGGAGTACAGGCCTTAGTTGCAGCAAATGGTAGTCTCACAGCAACCTCGGGAGACTGTAAGGCTTGTCCGTATGACTTTAACTGCATGCAGAGAAAACATGCCTGAATCTAGAGCTAAAATCCCAGGAAAGGAGATATTTTATATGCTTTTTAATTATTTTGTCTCATCTACATGCAACTATCTCCTCCCACCATGTGCTTGTGAAGTTTTTCTGTCCATAAATGTTATGTGCCACATACAGTACTATGCACAGAGCATAAAACAGGATAGACCAGTTTCTGCTGTGCTATCTATGGTTTATATCCTAGGGGTTATATTCTAGTAGGGGGGAACAGGAATATAGGAGATATAAAAAGTCCAAGGCAGCTACATGTGTGAAATTGGCAAAACAGTATGGATTGAGTACAGCAAAGAGAAAAAAGATTGGGCTGGAAAGGCATGTAGAAAGCAGACTGTGCAAAGGGCTTTATAAGGCAAGGTGAGTTTTCAGTTTCGTTCTAGTATTACAGAGTTTAACATAGTGCATGAACATCATTTTTCCATTTTTTCATGTTTCTCAAAAAAAAAAAAAAAAGGTAGAGTTCTATCAGGGAGTCAGAACTTCTGGGTCTTAAATCTGATAAAGACTGCTCAATTTTTCACTTCCAAAAATATACATAAAAATGCCTCCAACATATACAGTATTAGGTACTTGTTACCTTTTTTTCTTTTCTTTTCTTTTTTTTTTAATTACTGTGGATCCAACTGGGGACCTTGTGCTTGCGAGGTAGGCGGCAGAACCACTGAGCTAAATCCCCGGCCCCTTGTTACCTTTCTAATGGATGTGTTTTATTAAGGTTTAAAATAATTTAAGATAAGGAAATGCTATATTCTGAACAATAGGCTACATTAAGTTTATAACATAAGGACATTTTTTCAAATTATCATATAAATTTATTTTTTGGTTTTTGGCTACGTAGTCAGGTTGGCTCTGAACTCTCAGGTCCTCCAGCCTCAGCTTCCCAAGCACTGGGATTACAGGTGTGCATCGCCACACTCAGCTTATCACATAAATTTTAGTTAAGGAGCCAGAAAAAAAAAAAGTTAAGGAGCCAGGTGTGATGGCCCATGCCTGTAATCCCAGCACTCAGGAGGCTGAGGTATGAGGATTGTCTGTTATTGTAAAGGCAGATGTTATTGACAGTTTATCATTCACAAACAATAACTATTATTCTTTATTTTAAAATATGATTACAAAAAAAAGAATAAAAAAGGACAATAAAACAAAACAAGAAAGTGAAAAAAAAAAAAGATTACCAGTATTTGAAATCTTTTCCAAGCAGGCAGTGCCTGCATTTCCTGGGGCAACCAATACTTGTTTGACACGAGGAGACTGTGCCAGTTTCCAGGCCAGTGTATGTTCCCTTCCTCCACTGCCAATTACAAGTACGCGGGCTGCCATGGCTCTGTCCACAAAGCAGGAATTCAAAAGGAAGATGACACCTGCAGAAAGAAAACCAGTTGTTATTTCAGAATGCATATATTTCAGAAATCACAATTTCTGAATATGCATTAAATTGTCTGACATTTCCATCCAGCAGTTCATTTTTAGAAAACTGGGACTTGTGATTTGAGAAATATGACTATAGGGGCTGGGGATTTAGCTCAGTGGTTCTGGCGCCTTGAAAGCGCAAGGTCCTGAGTTCAATCTCCGGTACTAAAAAAAAACCAAATATGACTATAGTCGTAAGAATGGGGTAAAGCCAGGGCAGAATAGCCTAAGGAGCTCGGTTTGGCTCTGCCTAAGGTAGAGTATCTTATTGAGGTTTCATGTGTTGAGAATTAATCCCTATTGTGAGGTATTAAGAGTGTAAATCAATCTTGGTGCACGCCTGTAATCCCAGCACTTGGGAGGCAGAGACAAGAGGATCACCAATTTCAGGGCAACCTGAACAATATAGTGAGTTCAAGGCCAGCCTGGACCACATAGTGAGACCTATCAAAAGAGCAAACAAAAAGACTGCATTAGGGGTGGGCTCTGAGAGGTACTTGGGCATTATGGTGGGCACCCCATGATTGTATTTTGGTGTCTAAGAAGAGGAAGAGAGACTAGACACATAGACCAGTGCTCGGTCTGTCTCTTACAACCTATGTGAGTTGTACCACAAGAATCCAATCATTAGCCCTGGATTTAGCTCAGTGGTTTCGCTGCTTGCTGTGCAGGCGCAAGGACCCAAGTTTGATCCCTGGTACCAAAAAAAAAAAGCTTTTGCACAGCAAAAGAATCCAATCATGGATGGAGCCCTTTGACCTTGCTTCTTGAGACGTGTGAACTTATCTCCTTTCATTACGTACTCAGTCTATAACATTGCTATAAGCAACAGAAAACAGACTAATGCAGTTGCTTACCTGGTGAATGTTATAAACAATATCCTTTCTCTGGCTCATTTTTAATTTTTTTTTTTTTGAGACAAGGTCAGTCTTGTTTTGTGTTCAGGCTAGCCCTGAACTCATGGGGATCCTCCTGCCTCTGCCTTCCGAGTGCTGGGATTACAGGCATGCACAACCACACCCGGACCTCTCTGGGTCATTTTTAGAAGAGTCATCAAAATTTAGCTAAAAAAAACCAACAAATTTTGACCTTTATTTAGGGATCATATTTTACTGCATTACCTAGGTTGTCTTCAAACTCCTAAACTCTAGTGATTTGCATGCCTCAGCCTTTGGAGCAGCTGGGAATGCGCCACCACACCCAGTGTTGACGTTTTAAATTTCGACCAAGATTGTAAAATATCCATTTTTAACCCATGAGGTCCTATAGATGTTACAGTTTTCATAAATCAAAATATTGAAGTCTGAGGTTAGAAAACTATCTGTAAAGGGCCAGACACTAAGTATTTTGATTTGAGGGTAACGTGCTCTGTCCAAATTACTATCAACTCTGTCTATGGTAGCATGAAAGGAGTCATAGAGAATACACTAGGGGGTGAAATGTGCCAATGTCCACAAAAACTTAATTCACATAAAAAAGGCAGCAGACTAGAGGTCATTTGCCTATCAGTGTTTTAAGGAAGAGGAAACCATCAAAAGTGTGTAACAAAATAAGTGTAATTGTGTTTCAATAAAACTGGATGTATGGATGTGTCAATTTGAATATAATTTTCATGTAATAAAAACATTTTTCTCAACCATTATTTTCTGGGCTGTACAAAAAATAGGTGGCAGGGCTGGGGATTTAGCTCAGTGGTTCCGCTGCCTGCCTCCCAAGCGGAACATCCCAAATTCAATCCCCGGTACCACAAAAAAAAAAAAAAGTGGCAGAAGATACGACATGGGGTCTTATGTTAAAAATCTGGTAGGGAAAATAATAATCAGATTTGAAAGCATCGAATTTTAGTTCTGACATCTGTATGACCTTAGCTATGTAGGGGTTAACTGAAAGGACATTTATGAAAATCTATTACTTTAGGGCTGGGGATTTAGCTCAGTGGTTACGCTGCCTGCCTTGCAAGTGTAAGGACGTGAGTTCGATCCCCGGTACCAAAAAAAAAAAAAATCTATTACTTTTATAAATTTGCCAACTCGATATGTTTTATAACTTCTTACCTAAATTGATACTTTAGAGATAGAAATGATTTCAGTAGAAATAAGCATAGAAAACGAACAATGGAAACCAGTTATCAAGTCATTACACTGGAAAAAAAAAATAAACTGAGGGTGAGCAGGTTCGCTAACATGAACAAGGTTAAATTTCCAACACACACACAAACCCAAAAGAATGAATAAAGTCACACTGATTTACTAATTTGCAAAAGCTATTAACGTACGCAGAACGCAAGCTGGTACAGAAAACAGCAATTGGTAACTTCCTGTGAATATTAAACTAGTAATATTAAAAAAAAACCCTAACATATTTTTGAGCACTTACCTTTTCCCAGGTGACATTCTAAATGTTTTTCATGAAATCTTACCTGCTCTGAGAAAGAGTTCTAGGTGATGGACAGTATTGCCATTGCCATTTTATGGATGAGATGGAAATCCACTTAAATTCTATGACTTGCAGGACAAGTCACGTAGCCAATGGGTTCCAACTGAAGCTATTTTGCTAACAACTCTCTAACAACTGAGATGACTGTGATTAAATATTTAAGGAAAGAAAAAACATCCCTTTTAAATTAGCATCAGAAGTAGTTGTCCAAAGCAATAGACATTTTAACACACCATTTGTACTGAACGATCTGAAACAAGTATCTTTAAATCTACAGAAAATACTGCCTATGTAGCTGAGTAAGAGTAGCAGTGTAGGGAAGTTTTCCCAAAGATGCCTGGATAGAAGTACTTGGAATCGACCATGGGAGGAGTTAGGCCGCCTGGCTCCAGGCACAGCACCGTGCAAGCCTCTTTACTAGCCGGGAGACCCTGGGAGACATAACTAACTTTCCCTCAGCTTCAGTCATTCGAGTGGATACTTTACAGCGAGAACAGGAGCGTCAAGCAAAGCCATTTCAAACAACTGGGTGGATAAAGCAGGGAAAGGGACAGCTCGCGTGTCAATCAGGGTTAACGGTGGAAAGCAAGCACATGGCCGATCCCCACCCACCCAACGTGCACACGGCCAAGCCCGTTTCTACAGGTCCACTCAGTTCCCGACGTTACCCCCCGGCAAGACCCAGACGTGGTCCACTTAAACGCGAAGGGAGCTACGCACCGAGCCCGGGTGGCCACGTCGCGGCCCTCGCCCGCTTGCCGGAAGTGTGCCCCGGGGATCCGGCGCGCGCCCGGCGCCCCCGTCCCCGCCCCTTGGCAGACGCCCCTACCCATTGGCCGGCTCGGCCTTGGGTCCCGAGGTGAAGCGATCTGTGCGCTACCCTCCCGCCCCTGGGCGCGGCCTGAGTCGGCTCCCCACGAAAGCCGCCGAATCTCTGGCACGTTTATAAGGTGGCACTGTAGTGTGGGGCGTCACGTAACGTCTCCAGCCCTGGCCCCGGAGCCTCCTGTGCTTCCAGGAGTGGCAGCGCCCAAGCCATTCTCAGCCAACTGTGCGATGCTCTGGAGTCAGGCCTGGCTGGGCTTTGAACACAGGTCGCTCAGGAACAAGGACCTATTGCTGAAAATACGGGGCCGATGATAGGAGACGAGGGCATAAAAATCCGTCCTTAACATAACTGTGGAGACGGGGGGGGGGGTGATGCACGTCTCTGACAAAACAATTTGGGACCACCAATAGCTTGGAGGCCTTGTGTCAAACATCTCGTGGCCATGTTTAGCTTCTGTTCCTGTTGAAGTGTTTAGTCGTTAACATCAAACCTCTAAGGGGCCTTAAACACTGTTGGAGACCACCATCCAAAGTCGCCTCAACAGCTACTTCTGTAATGGCGCCTGCGTCAGACACTAACATGGCGGATCGAGTCGTGCGCGGCGCAAACGTCAGCATCTCTACCCAAGCCGCTCGGAAACAGCAGAAGAGAGGGGGGCCGTCTTCACTGATTGGCCTATAGGTGGAGCGTGCCGGTCCTGACGCTCCTATGCGAGCCAATCAGGAAGAAGAGAAAAGGAATTGGCCGCTGCGCCTTCTCCCGACGCATGCTGGGAGCCTGGAGGACTAAGCGAGGAGGAGTTGAGAGAACGGAGCGGACGCCATGGCGGCCGACATCGAGCAGGTTTTTAGGTCTTTCGTGGTCAGTAAATTCCGGGAAATACAACAGGAACTTTCCAGGTAAATGCCTCCCGGACTCTTCTGCTCCCAAAGGGCCGTTCGCACCCCACCTACCCTTCTTTGGCGCCTTTCTTCGGAGACCCCGTCGTTCCTCGGCTCAGGCCCCGCTACGGCCCCGCCTGGGCCTGGGATCCATTTTCCGGGCCCTCCCCCCATCCTCTCCTTTCCTTTCCCCCGAGAAACAGGCCCTTTCCTTGGTAATCGTAGGCTTCTTTCTTTTGAACTGAGTTAAGATGCTTACCCTTCTGTCGTTTGGACACCCCCTACCTTTTGCTACTCGTAGGCCTGGTGTCCATTGGGGCCAGGCCTAGTTCCTCCCTCTCGGCTCCTCCTCTGCCGCCGCCTCTCCCCTCCCCCTCCCCGCCTTCGCGGCTGTCGCCGGCCGGTGTTTGAGACCGGAAAGGGTCTCAAACGACCATTTCTTGGCTAATCTTAAATCTGCTTTATTATTAGTGGCTTCAGAACGTTTGGGGGTCGAGATTAATTAATGATGTTATTCGGGCCTTGTGTCCTGCGGTTTCCACCAAGCAACATTGAGAGATGAGGGATTTAAATTAAAACATCTCGAATTGTTATTGTTAAAATCCATTTAATGAAATGTGAGGAAAATGAATTTTGAAATACCAAGGATTATTTAATTTATCAGTTGGAAAGTGGACTTTGTGGGTAGTAGAACTCGATATTTTTGCTATTGCTAGTAGGCTTTACATAGGTTATATACCCTTGGCTCCACGCAATCTGAAGGGGAAGAGATTTCTATAAAACAGTATTTGTTTACTCTGAAAGGAAAATAGTTGTGTATTTTAGTAAAGTGATTGTCTTTTAATATTTTTGCTTTGTACAAACCACTAATTTCTTTCAAGTTCAGAGGTAGGAAAAGATCTTGAAAAGTAAATACTTGTTAAAGGTTTCAAATATTTTCGCCATTTTAAAAGTTGAGAGTTAAACGTATTATGCTTTTGAAAACCAGCTGAAAATGCAATTGTAAATTAAGAACCCAAATTAACTTAAGGTTATTGGGGCAGCGATGTATTGTTCCTAGAATTTTCATTTTTTGCAGGATATGGTGTTTCTAAAGTGGGAAATAGCCCCCTCACTGCATTGCTTTTAAATTTGGAGATATTTTTAGTGATTTTAGGATGACACCAGCGCTAAGGGAATATAATTTTCCTTAAACCTTTTAAATGTTTGCATGCGTTAGATAGTTGCTTGCTTAATTAATTTTGTAGCTTTTAAGGCAGTCTATTAGAATGTAAGTCTGTTAGCTTTGTTGCAGAAAATTTAGAAACTAAAAGAGGAAGAAAAACAAAAACTACCAGTTACTGGTGTTACCATCTTTCATTTGCACACAGATAAGCACTGTTTTTGTTACTGTGATCATTTTGTTTTGTATTGGTTTTCAACCTAATATATTGTGAACAGTGTCCACTGTCCTTATCTTCAGACATGTCTTTCATATCTTCAGACATTTTCCATAGCTGCATAAAATTACTTTGTAGGAATACATTGTTGGATATACATAGGTGATTTGAAATTCTCATTGCTTTTCGTTAAATTTTTTTTTTTGGTACCGGGGATCGAACTTGGATGCTTTTCATTAATTTTAATTAATGTCTTGGAAGTTATTTTTCTGATGTTTAAATTCCTGATAATCATGTACGTTAAGTGCAGAGGAAAATTGTAAGTACTCCATAAAGTCTAAGGAATATCAGACAAAGCAGTTTCTTACTAGAGAAATTTAGAGCAGTTCCTCTTCAACGTATTAATGTATTATCAGTCTAAAAACTATTAATTTGCCATTGCAGTGAGCTACTTTTTCCTTTTCTCATTTGCTTTTATATTCATCACCGTTGGTAATGAGGACTTTTAGATAACTAAGTGGCCTATTGTATATAGTTATGTTTAAGATTACAGGCTCTGGTTTTGAATATATCAGCTTTACTTCTTGGTAGATGTGTGACCTTTAGCTCAGTCTTCTCTGTGCCTCGTTTCCCTCATTTAGAAAATCAGAATAGTGATGACCTTACAGTTTTGATAGGATTAAATGAGTTAAAAGTACAACAATGACACTAGTTATTACTCAGTAAATGTTAATGATTGCTGTTGCACGATTCATTTTATTAGAAAATCAGACGTTCCTTAATGTTTAGCTAACTAGTGAGGTGTTTTTATTTTTTTTTTTTACATTCCTGACTTGTCAGATATTTATGTTTTTTCAGTTAGCTAAAATTAAAGTTAAATTAAAATTGCATGTGTTCTTGAAATTATTTGATTCGTTTCAAATTTTACAGGTTTACCTGAATATAAGAAAAATTACTACATGAATGATGTTTTTATGTTAAAATTCTTCTGGCCTTTTCAGTTGAATACTTTAAGCTATATGATAGTGGGAATAGTCACTTATATGCAGTTTTAAACCGACATTTTTTAATGCCTGGATTTTTGATAGTATATATAAATATATTTTTCTTTTAAGTTTTATGGCATTTTAGTAGTGCTGTAAAACTAAAAAGAAGCCACAAGTTACCTTTTTTTACTTAGTGTGTCCTATGGCAGAGTTCTGTCTTACTTGAAACTGTTGATTGTGATTGTGATCTATGCACAGGTGTGGCTTTATTGTGGCCATAGTTTCTACCATAAGTTGTCATCATTTTTCTTTGCTTTTGTGATTGGGCTCTTATTAACATTTCTCCTTGAGAGAAATATGTAGGTAACCAAAAGTCTCAAGTTAGGTTTCTGGAATTATTTTTAAAAGGTTGTGCTTAGAGCCGGGTGTGGTGGTGCACACCTGTAATCCCAGCACTTGGGAAGCTGAGGCAGGAGGGTCATTTTGAATTTGAGGCCAGCCTAGACTACATAGTGAGTTCAGAGCGAGTCTGAACTACATAGACCCTGTCCTAAAAAAACAAACAACAAAAAAATGTTGTGCTTAGAAATTTAGGGTTTTTTTGGTTTTTTTTTTGTGGTACCGGGGATCAAACTTGGGTCCTTGCACTTTCGCAGCAGGCGGTAAAACCGCTGAGCTAAATCCTCAGCCGTAGAAATCTATTTTAAAAGCTATTCTTTTAACTTTCACTGTTTTGAAAACTTTGTCTAAAAAATGATGTTTGCAAATGGCAAACATCTGAAATAGGGAAAGGATGAAATAAATGTATGGACAATGTAATACAGTGTAAAATTGTGTGGATTAGATTATTGATATTAATTTATGGACTTGTATGGTATGATAAAATAATAATGAATTTTGAAAAATTTTTCTTGTTAAGTGGAAGGAGTGAAGGCCAGCTGAATGGTGAAACAAATACACCTATTGAAGGAAACCAGGCAGGTGATGCTGCTGCCTCTGCCAGGAACCTACCAAATGAAGAAATAGTGCAGAAGATAGAAGAAGTACTTTCTGGGGTCTTAGATACAGAACTTCGATACAAGCCAGGTAAGTTGTAAATAATCACCATTCTCAAAATTTTTAAGAGTTTGAAATTTGAAGGTTAATTTTATTTTAAAATGTATATTGTGACTTACTAAAACTTAAAATCCTTCTTTGAAAACAATTGTGCTGAAATATGAGTGAGAATTGATGGACATGTTTGCTGGTAGGATATAATTTTTGACTTTTCTTTTTCCTTTTTTTTTGGCGGTACTGGGGATCAAACTCAGGACCTTGCGTTTGTCAGGCAGGCGCAGCGTCACTGAGCTACGTCCCCGGCTAATTTTTGACTCTTGATTCAGTTTTGTAATGTTTCAGTGCCAGGGTTTTTGAATGTAGGTTTTTTTTTTTTTTTTGCAACAAGGATCATGTGGGTTTTCATTGAACATTTGTAAACGTCAGTTCTGGGAAGGATTAATAGTCTGGACCAAATATGTAGTGATTTCTAAAATGTACCATATGTGGTAAGCCTGAGCTTAGAGGTCGTCTTGTTTTTACGTCCATCCCATTTAAAAGCATAGTAAAGAGGAGTTCTTGCATGGATATTTAGCTTTGTTGGAATTGATTAAATAATTGATGTATCAGTGAAGGATTTATGATTAGCTATAAACTTAAGTCATTGTCTTTATTTAGTTTAGGAATTAGTTGTGTGGTGTGGTTCATTTTGTCTTCTCCCTACTCTGGTTTAGCCTTGCTTTAGATTTGTGGCTCTAGTAAACTTTTTTTTTTTTTTTTTTTTGCTATACTGGGGATTGAACTCAGGACCTTGCACTTGCCAGTCAGGCACAGCACTACTGTGCTACATCCCTGGCCTAATGAACTTTTCTTGTTCAGGTATAACTTATTATTTGATGTTCTGAAAGAACACTTTATATAGTGGATTAGATTCCTTTTGGTATATGTCTTGTCATATGTTGGTTTCTCTCTTTTTTTGAGACAGGGCTTTGCTTTGTAGTTCAGACTGGCCTAGAACTTGTTTCGTAGCCCCAGCTGGTTCTCAAATTTAGGATTCTTCTGCCTTAGACCCCTGAGTGGTGGGATTACATGCCTGCTATTTTTCTCTGTAGTCTTTTTTTTTTTTTTTTTTTTTTAAAGCAGTGGTATCTCACTGTGTTGCCCAGATTGGTCTTGAACTCATGGTCTCAAGTGATCCTGCTGCCTCAGCCTGGTTTTTTGGGGGTAGAACCCAGGGCTTTTTATGTATGCTAGGCAAGTACTCTTATTACTGAGCTACACACTCACCCCCTTTAAAAAAATAATCTTTTATAGTCTTAATGGTCAGAATATCTGATTTACCTTTTCAGGAATCACTAAGATTTATTTGATTTACTGTTGGCTTTAGGGTAAATTCCATCTTGTAAATTCTCTAGGATAAGCAAATTCAAACATTTATTTAGCTGGGGCTCAAACATAGGGCCTTACATATGCTAAACAAGCACTCTACCACTGAGCTGTATCCCTAGCCCTGAAATGTTCTTAAGTTTCATGTTAAGGGAAATGGAAATTCTCGTCCATTTCTTAGTAATTTAGAAGAGTGTTTTAAGAAAAGATGTTATTTTTACCAGGATGTGATGTAATGTGTGATAAGGTATAATTTGAGTTTGTCACTGCATAACATTTGTTGCACAGACACATATATATATATATATATATTAGAAGCAGTTGCTAACGTTTGCTGAGAGTTTACTGTGTGCTGGGCATTGTTCTGTGTATTTTGCATATTTTAACTGTCTTCCAGTTCTATAATATGTCAGTAATTTGCGGTGCCATTTATCAACTAAATGATGAATTGGCTTGGTGTGGTGGTGCATGCCTGTAATCCTAGCACTCTGGAGGCTGAGGCAAGACTGCCTTGAGTTTGAAGCCAGCCAGGGCTGCACAGTGAGTTCAAGGCCAGTCTGATATAATGTTGGAAAATTTAAAAGAAATTATAACAGTATGGAATGTATTTATTGATAAATTTAGTTTAAAAATAATACAATTTGAGAAGTGGAAAAAATGATTATTTCAGTAGGATTTAAGATCCACTCCCTCTTTTTTTGTTAGCCTGGGTCCCATGGCATTGTGTATAATAGGAGGTACTCTTTAACATGCTACATTGCCACCTCTTAAAATCTTTTTTTGAGGGAAGGGACCAGGGATCAAACTCAGGACCTTGTGCTTGCCAGGCAGGCACTGTGCTACTGAGCTAAATCCCTGGCCCTAAAACATATCTTAATGTAATTTAAAAAGTTTTTGTGACCAACCAAGAAGTTGGTTTTGGTGTGTATGGTTTTATTTTGTGGGAGAGGAAGATAGGGTCTCACTGTGTAGTGTAGCTAGCATAAAACGTGGAATCCTTTTGCCTCAGCTTTCAGAGTGCCAGGATTACAGGTATGTGCCATCATCCCTGGCTAAGGTCTTAGTTTTACCAGTGCTGGGTCTTAAACCTACAGACTCACACATTTGAGGCAAATGGTCTACCACTGGGGTATAACAGCTCCTAAGGACTTATTTTTAGTCTGGGATTTATTTGTAGAATGTTGGAAAAGTGGTAGTCTCCATATTAATTGATAATTATTCAAGATGAGGTATTACACTTTGGTGTTTCAATATGGTGTGAAAATATTGGTTTTGTATTTGTATTTTGGGGAATGTCTGACAAAATAATTTCCATTACTTTCAGACTTGAAAGAGGCCTCCAGAAAAAGTAGATGTGTATCTGTACAGACAGATCCTACTGATGAAATTCCCAGCAAAAAATCAAAGAAGCATAAAAAGCACAAAAACAAAAAGAAGAAGAAGAAGAAAGAAAAGGAAAAAAAATTTAAGAGACAGCCAGAAGAATCTGAGTCAAAGCCGAAATCTCATCATGATGGGAACATAGATTTAGAATCTGATTCCTTTTTAAAGTTTGATTCTGAACCTTCAGCAGTGGCACTGGAGCATCCTATAAGAGCATTTGGCCTATCTGAGACCAGTGAATCCTCTACAGTTGTGCTGGAACCTTCCATATCATCAATGGAGGTATCAGAGCCACACATCCTTGAAACTCTGAAGCCAGCTACAAAAACTGCAGAACTATCAATTGGATCTACATCAGTAATCTCAGAGCAGTCTATGGCAGCAACATTGGAACCATCTGTGACAAAGATTGTCGAATCCTTTGCAACAGCTCCTGTGCCTACAACAGTAGTGCTGAAGTCATCCGAGCCAGTTGCAACAATGTCTGTGGAGTATCAGATGAAGTCTGTGCTGAAATCTTTGGAGCACATAGCTCCAGAGCCATCAAAGATCATGTTGGCAGAGCCTCTAGTAGCAAAAGAACTAGAGCCATCAGAAACCCTTGTGATAGTTTCAGAGACATCTTCTGAGGTGCACCCTGAACCAAGCACATCAACAACAGTGGATTTTCCAGAATCATCTGCAACTGAAGTGCTAAGATTGCCAGAGCATCCTGTACCATCAGAGATCGCAGATCCATCTGTGACAAGACCTCAGGAGTTGCTGGAGCTGTCTAAGACCTCAGCGGTGGAGCTGCCGGAGTCGTCGGTGGCCTCTGTGCTGGAGTTGCCGGGGCCACCTGCGACTTCCATGCCGGAGTTGCAGGGGCCCCCTGTGACTCCAGTGCTGGAGTTACCTGGGCCCTCTGCTACCCCGGTATCAGAGTTGTCAGGGCCCCTTTCTACCCCAGTGCCTGAGTTGCCAGGACCCCCTGCGACAGCAGTGCCTGAGTTGGCAGGGCCCTCTGTGACACCAGTGCCACAGTTGTCGCAGGAATTGCCAGGGCCTCCAGCACCATCCATGGGGTTAGAGCCACCACAGGAGGTACCAGAGCCACCTGTGATGGTGCACGAGTTGCCAGGGCTGCCTGCAGTGTCAGCAACAGTAGAGTTGCCTGGGCAGCCTGCGGTAACAGTAGCAATGGAGTTGACCGAACAACCTGTGACGACGACAGAGTTCGAGCAGCCTGTGGGGATGACAGCGGTGGAACATCCTGGGCATCCTGAGGTGACAGCGACAACAGGGTTGCTGGGGCAGCCTGAGGCAACAATGGTGCTGGAGTTGCCAGGACAGCCTGTGGCAGCAACAGCACTGGAGTTGTCTGGGCCGCCTTCGGTGGCTGGGGTGCCAGAGTTGCCTGGGCTGCCTTCGGCAACTAGGGCACTAGAGTTGTCAGGGCAGTCTGTGGCAGCTGGGGCACTAGAGTTGCCTGGGCAGCTCATGGCAACTGGGGCACTGGAGTTCTCGGGGCAGTCTGGGGCAGCTGGAGCACTGGAGCTTTTGGGGCAGCCTCTGGCAACAGGGGTGCTGGAGTTGCCTGGGCAGTCTGGGGCGCCAGAGTTGCCTGGGCAGCCTGTGGCAACTGTGGCGCTGGAGATCTCTGTTCAGTCTGTGGTGACAACATCGGAGCTGTCCACGATGACCATGTCGCAGTCCCTGGAGGTGCCCTCGACGACAGCGCTGGAATCCTATAATACGGTAGCACAGGAGCTGCCTACTACATTAGTGGGGGAGACTTCTGTAACAGTAGGCGTGGATCCCTTGATGGCCCAGGAATCCCATATGTTAGCTTCTAACACCATGGAGACCCATATGTTAGCATCCAACACCATGGACTCCCAGATGCTAGCATCCAACACCATGGACTCCCAGATGCTAGCGTCCAACACCATGGACTCCCAGATGTTAGCCTCTAGCACCATGGACTCCCAGATGTTAGCAACCAGCTCCATGGACTCCCAGATGTTAGCAACCAGCTCCATGGACTCCCAGATGTTAGCAACCAGCTCCATG